TTGAGCATTATAACACTACGTATCTGTGGTGATACTGCTTTGTATGTTAATATAACGTAATTTAATAATTTTTCTGATTAGCAATTTTGTAACATTTTAAAAAAAATAGATGTCATTAATAATCTTGAACTGATATTTTTAATTAACAAATTTTTCGACAGCTAACAGAGAATCCAGGAGAAACTCTTAATTATTTTTTTAATTGATTGTAAATCAATAATAATTTATTCTTTCCCAGTTTTAATTGGCCTTGTAAAACTCTTGACATGACGCCAATATTCTCCGAACTCTAATTTTTTCTCTTGTTCTGGACATATCATTACTCTTGAAAGTATTTTGTTTTCGGTTGATTAAACATCTCTTTTCTTAGATGATTAACGCTTAGATGATCATGTTATATTTAGTGGGCATTAGCTTAAGAGAGCATCTATAATCCATTACGATTTGATTTCTAGTTATTAATCATTATTGAAATCCAGAACACTGCAGTTCTGAAAGCAATAAACATATATCTACTAGTAATTATCATACCTAAAATGCTTAATCCATTTCTGCCTTCTTTTGATTAATATGTTATTTAATTGTTGTTCTTTTAATTTTAGCGAATTGCTTATCATAGCTTGGCTTTTTGTAAGTATAGATATTTCAAGCTCATGTTGTGATTGTATCCCAGTGAGTTTATTGTACAAATTTCGAAATCTGTTTCGATCTCTAATCAATTCATTGCACTTAAATTTTTGCGATTCTATTTCGTTTTCCAGCTTATTGTTCGATTCCTCTGCCTCTTTTAACTGCAACCGCAACTGACGGCTTTTAGCATTTAAGTTAATAATATTTTTCTTCAGAATTGAAACTTCTTCCAACAAATATGAATTGTGGAGAGATTTTTTTGCCAATTCATCCTTAGTAGTATTGTGCAAACGATTGCTTTCGAACAACTTCTGTTTAAGATTTGCTAATTTTTCGTCTCGCAATGCTATTTGGTTTTTGTAAAGTTCATTTAGTTTTTTCTCCTTTACTTTTTCTGACTCTACCATCGCCTCCTTCAAAGCTGTGGCTTTCAGTTCACTTTCGACTCTTTGTTCCGTGATTTCGGAGTTCAATTCTCCGGTCGTTTTTCTCAATCTCTCAATTTCTGACTTGTCTTTTAGTATGCGTTCCTGATCCATCGCCAAATGTTTTTCCATAGTTCTCATCTGATTATCCATGGAACTCAATCTTTTTGAAAGGGAGTTTAGTTTAAGACGGGTGTCATTAATAACTTCAATTTTTTCTCCGTGTTTAAGAAATAATGCTTTATTTTCTTCTATTAAAACTTCGATTGTATTTTTCATTTCATGCTTCAAAACATGCATTTCCTTAAGCTTTATTGTGAGATCTTTTAATTTGGCTTCGTATGTTTCTTGACTTTTGCGCCAATCTTCTTCAAACTCTAATTTTTGTTTCGCCAAGTTAGATAATTTTGAAGAGCAATCATTAAAATGTCTAGTTTTTATTTCAAGTTGCTCTTGCAAGAACTTTGTTTTCATTTGATTAAACTTCATCTGTGTTCTTAGAACATGCATTTTTTTCTGCATTAACTTAAACTCGCATTTATAATTGGTTTCAGTTTGATTATTTGAAATTTTATTTTTATCGATTTCTAATTTGTCACGACCAAAATTTTTTTCTCTTATTTCAACTTGTATCTCTGCATTAGCACTTTCTACAACGCTGTATTTAGCATTAATTAAAACGCCTATATTTCTTTTCAAATTTTCAATTTCGTTAACAAATCCCTGCTTTTCATCGTTAAAGAATGAAATTTGTGTTTTTAAGGAGCTTAATTGCTCTCTTAATTCCATCATTGCTAGATTCTGTTTCGCTGTTTTTGTCTCCAGATTACTTTCAAGTTTGAGTTTTTCAGCCACTAGTTGACGTATTTTATTACCTTTCCTTTCGTTATCTTGATAAATGAGCTGAAAATTGCTCAACAATTGATTAAACTCCGCCACTACCTTTCTGTTATTATCATCTGCTTCTAAATCATTTATAAAAGTTTTAAAATGTTCAAATACCGCCTTGAGTCGATATTTACTAAAATAATCAAATTCAGTCATGATTTAATGACAAATTTGCATTTCGCAAAGTAAATAAAGTCTCAGTCTTTATATTTTGTTATGAGTTATGGTTTTTTTTAATTTATTCACTTCAATTTTATCTGACAAGTATTTTAAATAAAACTAAAATATAATACTTATGTCTACCATTCATTCAGTGAAAATTTGGGATCTTTACAACGAGAATGTAGAAAACTAATTTGATCACTAAAGGCACAATCCTGTAGCAAGAAATATATGATGTATAAAATATTTTTTTTGTTTTTAATTATTGCCAAAATTTTAACCTTTTTAAAGAGATATCAGTTTCAAAAATTTCATCTTAAGATTTTGTACTATAGCGCATTTCTAATAGGCTCAACGAATTACAAGTCATTTATTTGAATTCAAATTTATTTTAATGACTTAGTATTTACTAAAAAGATGTAATTTTTTTTAAAAAAAGTTGTTATATGGATTTGAATGATTGTTTTGAATTCCTAAAATTTTGTGCATTTGCTATGCAACTAAGTTAGTAGCGAGCGAAGCAAACCATATAAGATTGCGTAGCAATTTTCGGGGGTTGGCGAGCGTTAGCGAGCAGGGGGCGCAGCCAACTAGTTACTATCTATTAGTATTATAAACATTTAGATCTCTTGGTGAACAGAAGTGATTTTTCGAAGTAATCATTTTTTAAAATAACATTTATATTCTTATAACATTATATTGTTCAAGCAAATTTGATGAGTTCACAAACATAATTTAATATTTTCGCTAATAATAGCAGTACTGGGAAATAACTTTAAATTAGGGATACAAAAATATTTAAAGGAAAGCAATACCTTTACGACTTTTGTTAATTTTATGCTGATGACAACCAAAGCAATATTGAAATGAATGAGGAAAAACTGGATCAGCTCAGCTTTAGATGGTAAGTTTAGTTGTAACATTTTAGCAAGCAGCATTATTAAAAATTATTACCTTTTCACACACATGCGTTCTCAATTTTAATTGGCTGTTTTAAGCGTTACTAGCCGCAAGTGTTCGGTGATTGGCTATTTGTTTTAATTTCACTCTTTTCTTATATTATATAAAGATATAAATAATCCTAAGAAGATGAAGCGACAAGATATTATGAAGTGAAAGCTTCATTGTCTTTAAAAAACATACAAANTGAAATCAGTTAATAAATCAAAAAATTATTGAGGTTAATCCTTTTTTTTTAGTTTCAAGTTTGTGAATTATACCTAAGATATGTAAAAAGGTTTGGAACTTGGTATTTTCTATTTTTTAATGTATAAAACAAATAGCAGGGCTACCAACTACTATGCTTTTTGAAAAATATTTCATTGAGTGGTAGATAATTGAAAACTAATGTTTATAGAATTTTTGATAATTTTGTTAACGTTTTGAAAACCTCATCATGGGAGGAACGGAACAAAGTGGCTTTTAATAATCTAGTAATTTACAAGCAGTATTGTAAAAAATAACTTTAAATCAAATTTATAAAAGAAAAAATAATACATTAAACCATAAACTTAGCTACTACTGTTAGATGAAATTTTTCCAAAATGTAGAATTTTTCCACTTTACTCTTCATATTGATGCAAATAAAATAAATTCTGTTTTTCATCTTACCTGTCGTTGATGACACATCTTTTTTTTCTGAACTGGTACTGATAAAATATTAGTATTTTCAGCATTCAGAGTCACTATCTTATATGTTAGACTGTTTTTATTCTTCTAGAACATCTTTGTGACGCTACTAGAACAATCTTTTGAAGGGTTTTGCTAAAAACATTTGCCCTTGTATTGCTATTATGAATTCATTAATATAAAATCATTAATTTTTCATTGCACTAAAATGTTGCTTTATATAATGTCCTTAATGAACTTTTTATTTTAAATTGTAAATTATCCACAATTAAAATTTGATTAATAATAAGTTTTATAATAATTAATTATCCCTTTCTTTTCTTCATTTATGGCACAACCTTAAATACATAACACTATTAGTAGATAGTGAAATCTTGCTAAGAAAGGGTCGGCGTTCAGAAGCAAATAGTTCTGCAATTTTAGTGGTGTGCAATATTCTTTGGGGAATAAAAGTTGCCTGATTAAGCAGCCTGCACCGTAAAAGGTAAATTTAGTCAAAACAGAGGTATTAATTATGGAACAAGCAAAACCAAACAGCAGAAAAAGGATTATTTTTATTGTTTACAATGAGGTCTGAATGAATGTGATTTTTTTAGGAATATAAAGGTTCATTTCAAACTGGAGTTTCTACTCCTGTCTTCTTTTTCAGCCTCTTCTCTTCCTGAGAGGATGGCTTCCGGCTGCTTAATTCACCACGACTCGCAGACAGTGGTTTCTATAACGAAAATAAACTTATACAAATATATATTTCTAATCTTTTTAAGAATGAAATGCAAATCATTACAATTAAAAAGTATCATAAGTACTGTTTTAATTCTTAAGCACAAAACATTGTTATGTAATAAATCAATTAAAGTCTGTCCCAGCTTGATATGAATTTTTTGCCGATTCTATAATGAAATGTTTGCATTGAATACGATGTTGTCAATAATGAGTCAGTGGCATAGTTCATGATTAGTAAAAACAAACTGGAGGACTACATAAAATAACAATGTCTTTTTATGATTATTATTATTTTGAGCATTGTTGAGTTACTCGAGAATCATGTAATTTATCGTTTTTAGAATCAAAACTGGATGGCTAGATAATGCGATTTAACACGCATTTTACTCATTATTTATTTAATTTCTTTTTTAAAATATAAGTTTAAGATTTATGAAGACAAGATCAAAACCTTTCATCCCTTAAAAGATTAAGCTGAGCGCTGTGCGATGACATTCAGCAGCATTTAGACAAAATGATTCCGGTGTTAGAAGGCATGTGTACCAGCAAACTTGCAAAAGCCATTATCTGATATTCTGTTTCACACATAACTTAACACTGCAACTTAATCACAAGTTCAACATTTTAATTTTAAAAAAACTTGTGTTTTCCATCAGAAGCAAGCTAAATTTTCTGTTGACAAAACCAAAAACAAACAAACATCGCATAGACATATAATATCTTAAACAACCACGAAAATTTAAATGTGTAACACTAGTATAAGCGCAAAGCAGTTATGTGCAAAAGATAAGTTTTTCAGAAATTTTAATCCATCTACTAAAACGTAAAATTTTCATAAAACTTTAACTTTGGAAGTATTTTATAGTAAAATTAGTTTGTGAAATTTCACTTTGTTTCCTTATTAGCATTAAGATTTTTTCATCAATTTTTTTTTTGTTGAAGTAAAAAACTTTTTTAGATAATTTGAATCATTTAAACAGCCAATTCATTTAAAACATGACATATTACTTTAATAAGGCTTCAAAATTTTAAAATTTCGTTCAAAATTTCGATGAATTACATACAAAATATTTTACGGTGGTAACTTTTCGGAGTGTGATTTGTGATGCCCTAACAAGTTCTCTTTTACTCTTTATATCTCATATAATTAGTTGAAACAATTTTCTTCGTTATTGTTCCGTTAAGCATTTGAGTTAACTAACAAAGTTAAGTTACTATGATATACAATATTTTGCATGTAATTCATCAAAGTTTTATTAGTTGAATTTAGAAACTATCATGATAATTGTTGTAGTACGTAAAAGATCCACATTTTCATTACCTCAGCTGTCGGTCGACTTGGAACCACATCTGGAACAACACCTTTGGGTGGCAATGCTGGACCTGGCTTTTTAGATTCTAGGCTCAGACTTCGACCTAAAGGTTTTTGGAGGACCTTGGAAATTTTGGACCTTAAGCTCATCTGTTTATCTTTTTTGTCTTGCGTTGATCCCGTTGAACCAAGTTTCTGACCTGTAGCGACATCTATACTCTTTGTTCTCCTGAAATACGAACGGAGAATAAGATATCAAGTAAGCTAAATGCTAAAATATATAACACTAAAAAGATAAAGTAAAAAGAAAATTGAATAGTTTGTTTGAGAGCAGCTGTTATAAAGCTGTATATACATGCTAAAGGATAAAAAAAAACTATGAAAATATAATTCAAATAGAAATTGAATAAATTAAAGACAGATATTTTGAAGCCTTCAATGGCTAAAAAAACGGAGGCAACCATTAAAAGATTTTCAAAACCAAATTCATTCCTAACACATGGTACATATAATCAAGAGTGATCTACGATTCGTCTCGCAAAATATTTTCTAGATCAGTAGATTAAAAACTAAAAATTTCAGAATTTTTGGTAATTTGCCAACTTTTTAATAGCCTCACCACGAGGAAACAGGAACAAAGTGGCGCTTTAAATGAACTTTTGAATCATTTACATGTAGGGGTGTATGAAATAGCTTTAAATTTACAAAGCAAAGAATCATACATTAAACACAGAAGCTGAGAAAGTTGGTATCCCTGTATAAAGTCTAAAGGTCATTAAATAAATTTGTCACTAAGCATTAAGACACATTTCTCTAAATGTTAATAGGTAATTTTTAAGTGACAGGGTGCCTGAGATGGTGTCTTCCCATATATATATATATATATATNTATAGTAAAAATTACCTAGCCCTTAGGGTTTTTTCCAGAGCCATAATTACGTTAATTTTTACCATAATATATATATATATATATATATATATATATACATACACGTGGTAAAGGATATAAAACTATGAAAACGTAATACAAATGGAAATTGAACATTGAAAATTAAATAGAATTGATGTATTGAACAAGCAGGATAATTTGCAACAACATTATCAGTTTGCTCCTGATCAAGATACTCATCAATAGTACGCCAAAACAACTGTCTGTAAATAAGCTTTCGATTTATACTTGGTAGTTTGCTCTATAGTATGTTCCAAATGGTGTTTAATTAAAATTTTAAAACGCCATGGGTGGAAGTTATTTGGACCTCAGACATAAATTTAATATCAGTATCTTCAAAATTCTATTCACAAGATCCTGGTGCATGAGTTCATCTTAATGTTCTCGAATCTTTTTATTTATAAGAATGTCGATTCTTTAGTTAATGACCTCAAACCAATACTTCTTCTGCATTGCGTATGAAAATGCATTCTTCCTGATTTGTTGCTTTGTACTAACGCTATCCCCCCAACTACAGTGGTTTCACTTGTTCTTTACTGTACGTTAACTTCTCTTACATTTTATTTCGTTGGTAAAAGTGCCTTTTCTTGCAACTTTTTCTATTTTTATCATTCAAGTGGTGTCATTCTTACTGATAATGAAAGTTGATTCGAGCGCTGAAAACACATTGACTTTACTTTTATTTCAACTATGAAGTTAAAGAAATTTTTATTTTCAACTATGAATTTATAACTGCTTAACCAAAATTTCTAAAAAATGTAATAAAAGACAAGATCGAGTGTAATCATGTGCTTAAATGACAACTTATAAAAGTGAGAAATATAAATGAAAAATCTTTATATCTACCAAAAATGTAAAAAATATAGTAAGGCATAAAAACTTTAATATACGTAGTCTGGTGGTGAAATGATGCATTTTTCTATAGGATTATTTCAACCAAATCAGTAAATTAAAGTTATAGAAAGCCTCTCTGTAAAAATATTCAATAAGATATCGTTTATCTCACCTCAGTAGCTTTAGTTTGTCTTTAAATGTTTTTCTTTGCTGTTGAGCTGCTAAAGGAACACTTTCTGAGCTGCCACCAGGATCCACACTCCCCTCTCTTGATGAATAAGGTGCTTCACTATCTGTCGTCATACCACTCATACTACTTGGAGCTCTATATCTCCTTCTATCTAATGTTACGCCACCATACCTATATTAAAAAAATTATTTGAATACACTATTGTAAACTTTACTGACTCTAATAGATAGTTATGATTTACCACGATCGAAGAATTAAATTCAATAAAACAGAATTAGAGTTTTCACTCAAGCGAAAAAGCATTTTGTTTTGCTAAGTGTGGGGATTATAGCAACGTTTTTTGTTCTAAAGTATGCATTAATGCCTCGTCTCTATATTCATATCTATAAAATTAATACAGTGGAGCATCGTTTATACGACGCCGAAGGGACCACCGAAAAGCGTCGTATAAACGATAACGTCGTATGATTGATTTTTACTTCTAAAACTGAAACTAACTCTGTTTTCAGTTAAGTTTAATGTTTAACGTGTTGATTTACATAAATTTCTAAATTAGACAAAGCAAAACAAACAAATAATCAAAGAAAAAAAAATTTCAGTGAGCAATTTGAATGTATGTTACCTTTAATTATATTTTCTTGCTATTAGTCTCTACAATGCTTTGAATAGCGAGTTGAACTTACTGCTTTCTATGATGCAATTTTAGATTTCTAATCACGGCCAAATCTAATGGCTGAAGCGCACTTGTGCAATTTGCAGGAAAAAAGAGAGCTTTTACATTTTCCAAAATAATTAGTATCGATGGGTGTGCTGGGCATTAGTCGATGAATAGCAAAATTTTTCGTTTTTGCCTCTTCATAACATTGTCTAGTTTTTTCAGTCATCTAGTAAAAATTACGATCGTCATCCAAGCATTCTTGTTGGCACCCTTTTCTGTATCTTTCATGTTGGTAAATTCCGCCCTTTTTTAAAACACACAAGAAAAAATAAAAAATTAAATAAACGTGAACAAAATCTACGACGTATAACCGATTCTGTGCGTCGTATAAACGATATATTTTTACATTAAAATGAATAGGAATGATTTGGGACCACACTAAAACGTCGTATAAACGTCGTATAAACGATGCTCCACTGTATATCTATAAAAGTTCTATGTATCTATAAAATATCTATATCTCCATATCTATAAAATATTTTATTAGAATTAACCATTATAAACTTTGTAATGACTTTAAATATTACAATAAATCTACATACCTATAAAACATTTTATTTGAATTAGCTATTATAAACTTCGCAATGACTCTAATAAGAAGTTGTGATTCACCATAATCACAAAGAATTAAAGAGTTTTCCCTATAATTCGAGAGTATGCCGAAAAGCGAAGCATTCTTTTTCAAAAATATAGGAAAATGGCAACGTTTTTTGCCCCTAAGTATACAACGACCCTCTGTGTTGGTAAACTTTACTTGTTTGACCCTTATTGTTTTCTCTCATAATTTTTATTTGAATTTATGAAATTCTCTTTAATCGTTTGGCAATTTTTTTTAATTCTATGAAATGCTTGGTGGTTTTCTCATGTTGAGAATTAGTGAAGAAAATGAACATTTTTTCGAAGCATCGAAAATAAATTACGATTTTACTTAAGATCACTATTTTTTTTGTTATTAAATTTATTTTTATGTGGAAAATCATACATATTTTAATGCTTTACATGCACTAACAATGCTTTTAAACTACTAATAGACAATAATACAAGAATAAGGTTTTACTAAAACTTTAATTGAAGAATAAATACGGATAAGTGTTATTTTTTATAGGTTACTACAAAAAATTTTATTAATAAATTTTTTGATACAGAATTTCCTTTTATTTGTTGCTTATTGTAGAATTAATTTGTCATATAAAGGAATAAAATAAAAAGGGACTAAACGAGAGCAAGTAAAATATATGACACCATTAAATTGTTGATTGTTGAAATTTACAGCATGAGTTGAACGCTTTCGATTGAAGTTAGTTTGGTGCCCACCTACGACTAGGGCACAAATAAACTTTAAAAAATGTGTTCCTTTGACGTCACTAGGGGACGAACACGACCTTAAAGTATTATTCTCCTATGACCACAATTAAACTTTTTCTTACCTGTATTCAGAATCTGGCAATGAAGAATCTGTTTCATAACCATAACCACCCAGACTTAAAAGGCTTCCAGCAGGTGTAGAAGTCACACTTTCACCTTCTGATTCCCATATTTTAAGCCTTTGCTCATGCGTTGTGCCCATGAGTGTGTGGTCAAGAGATAATGATTTTCTGTGTAGTGTTTTTTGTCTGGGCGGAGGACGAATGATCATACTCGGAGGTGCTACTGGATAGTTGGTCACTCGCTGAGGGTTGTTCCACCTCTGCATGGGATCTTGACTCTGCGACATATCTTGAGCAGAAATGGCTCTGAGTAACAAAAGAAATAAGAGTCAGCAATTATAAATGTTTTGTATTTAAAGCTACTTTCAGTGGGATAATATAAAGATGAATGTGTTATAACTATAAGATATACAACTGAAAATAAAAATAATAAAACTTCAGAGGACGCTGTAGCTCGGAAGAAACTTGATATGACAAATTCTGCTTCACCTACTCTGGCGCTTTAAAATTTAAATTTTGTGAAAAATGAGTCCAGGTTAACCGTGAGTAGATAACAAAGTGCCAAACGCTGATTTATTTTCAAAATATTAGATTACAATCAAATTATTAGGATTATCTCCCCATTGCTCAACCCTGAATTATATTTCATAGAGCCAATAGCTTATTTTAATTTGGATACTTAAAAAAAATTGTTTACCACTTGAAACTTAGTGGTTTACTCTTAGAAAAAAATTCATTTGAAATTTCGGTTATACTCTTAGAAAAAAAAATTTCCCCGTTTGAAATTTCATGGTGTACTCATAATTTTTCTTCCCAAACTTGAAACTTTGTGGTTTACTATTCGAAAAATCCCCCCCCCATCTTAATTAAATAAAATGAATAATTATAAACAATTAAGGATACATGTATATAATTGAAGGTTATTTTGAGCTCTATATGTATATAATTAACAGTGTAGTATGCCTTGCGTTAAATCATCGTAAAAAAATATATTGTCACAAACTGACATACGACTTATTTTGTCACTATTATAAATTACCTTCTTTTCAAATTTGTCAAAACTAAATTTAAAAGAGAGAAACACATAGATGCAGAAGAGATTGAAAATAAGTTGTAACAAGTAAAAAAGACTGATTGGGACATGAGAAAAAAAAAGTGCGAAGCAAAAGTTGTAGAAATTAAAATGAGATGGATTTCCAATCAAGTTATCTCGAGAACAGGTTTTCATGGTTTCTCGCCCAGGAACAGTGTTTTCATGGGACACATTAGGACCCATAATCCTCATAGAACAATCCCTGACGTCTGTAAGCTACTTGAACATAGTTGCAGACCAGGTTCACCCATTCATGGCAACAGTTTTTCCTGCNAGTTGGTGAGCGCTTGGTACCTGATACCTCAGACTACCTATCAGCACCTTGTGGAATCAATGCCACGGTGGATGCTAGCAATTTTGAGAGCTAAAAGTGGTCCTACATGTTATTAGCAAGGTGGACATGTAATGGCTCTTCGGTGCATATTAAATGATTTAGTGCTTATATTAGTTCAATCAGCATCTTAGAGTACTCGGAGTGCAAAGAGTTAAATCTAATTCGACAAAAATTGAGAAAAATTATTTTCCACTCTTTTACAGAAAAATTCTTTCGAACTTTATTTTATACCTTCTGAATGATGTTGTCCTTTTCAATCTTTCATCTTCTTTTAATATTTCTGCAGATTTCTGAAGCTCTGTGAACTTCTCTTTAACCTTTAATTGAATAATATTAAAAAGAAATTGTTAAAAAAAAAGGACGCATAATTAATCTGTCACTAAAGAGTTGTTTATGAATAAATCAGATCGAAATTATTTATTATTGTATGTATATTGCTAATGACTAACTATGTTGCTAACTGACTTGTATAAGCATTTTCTGAGATTCAAATTTATAAAGCATAAATTAATTTATTTTTATAAAACTATTCATTTTTACCATCTTTTATTTGAAATAAGAAAGGTAAATCTATCAAATTGTAATAGTAATATTTCTTACAATTATACTTACTAATAACTTATTGTTTAGCGTGCTAATTCAAAGATTTCAGTGAGACTGGTATTCACTTTAAATTCTTTACTCACTCAATTAATGTCGTATTTTTTACCAATGTTTTGTATATTAATTAGAAATGTTATGGAATCAACTTGAAAATTTCAAAAAATTGGAAAAATAGGAAACGCAAAGTCAAACGCCAAAAAACTATCGAAATTAAATTTTTTATGAAATGCAAAGCTAAATTTGTGCTTAATGTTTGTTAAATATAAATTCGATCACTTAATAAAAAGTTAAAACACTTAACATTTCTCTTCTGGACATTACAAGACTTTCAAGATAGCTTAAGAACTTGAAATAATTTGGTTTGTTCGACATGAAATTCGGAAAAATGGTACATCACAAATAATTGTGCAAATTTGGAGACAGTGTACAATGTCAAAGCCGCAATGGCTCAGGGGTTAAGGCGCTGAACTGTCATTGTGACGAACTGGAGTTTGACCCCCCAGTGGCATCTTGAAACCCATCCAGCTTCAGATCTATGGGTGCCAGCTTCTCTGGAAAGTATAGCCGGTCAGTGCGCAATGTTGACCTCTTTGCCACAATCATGCTGTTGGTTACGAAATTGTAGTTTATGATCCCCTTATGCACAACAGGCTATTGCAGGAATACTTTACTCTTAATCCTAATTAATATTTCTTAAATTAATTCAATGTAATTTTATTTACTTACATTCCGCATTGTTTCTTTAAAGTCATCAGTAAGAGGTAAGGTTGGCTTTTCAGAGTTCGAAGCAACTTCCGAACTTACTTTTTCAACCTGTAAAAATGTTCATTACTTGTTACAGTGTAACTTGTATTTACAATAAATATTTTTTTCATGAATTCATAAAGGATATTTATCAAGTTTCCTTTATTCTGGATTAAACTTTATGTAAAAATATTAAACATAATTTCGTATTGATTTTCGAATGAGATATAAAACAAAGAAAACAGAATTTTAAAAAAAAATTCAATATTTTTAGCAAAGCAGCATTTCTATTTTGTACATATTATAATAAAAAATTTTATGATTTTATTAATTTTTAGTGCAAAATCAATTTTTGGCAATAATATCAATTTGGTTTTTGAATATTGTATTTCAAATAGTTATATATAAACAGGGTGGTCATTACTCGGATAAAATAAAAAAAATGATTGGGAAATATTTAAAAAAGAAAGAGTTTTTATTAATTCTTATGTAACAAAATATATATGCAAATTAAAGGGACGTGTCTAGATGTTAGAATTGATAAACTAATTCCTGAAATTAAACCCTTTGACATTTCCAACAGCTTCATGAAACATTTGTTCAAATGCTTTCAAATTTTTCCTGGTTGCGGCCACCCTGATGAAATTAAATGGTATTATAAACTAAATATGACTCACAAAAAATTGTGATAAAAGAAGAGAAAGTTAACGTGACGAATGTAAACGAGTGATATTATAATACCAGAATTTGGATAAAATCTTATTCCTTGTGATTTTTTTCTAAATCAATTTTTATTGAATAAATTAGTAAAATTAATTAAATAAAATTACTCAAATTTTAAATCTATGGCATTAAAAAAAATATTAAAGTATGTTAATTCATTTTCTATTGGGGTACACAATCTGCGAAGCAATCTATAAGTGTAAATTTATTGACGAAAAAAATTTTGAAAATTTGGAATTATACACTATGTTTGTGGCAATTTCTACACCATGAAGAAATTTTGAAAATTGAACCAAACTTCATGGTGGTAAGTATTAAGATATTACAAATATATTGCGCATGTTCATTTGCGCCACTATCAGTAATATGTGGATTGAATTTCATGATCTTCTGAGAATTCCTTCATAGTGTTGCAATTTTTACAAGAGTAAATTCTATTATTGAAATTTCGAAAATACGTCATTAGAGAACTTACATCTTTTACTATTTCTGTAAGTTTAGTGTGTAGCTGCATGGCAGCTTGTAGCCTCTGCCTCCATTCTTCTCTCTCTTTCAATAGTATCTCTCTCTCCTTCTTCATTCTATCATACATACCTCGAAGTTTGGCGTGGGATTCGCGTATTTCAAGTAAACTGCTATGCAACTGTAACAACAAAAGAGAAATGAAAATTAGCTCTTATATTTTGTATACTATTAGTATTTGAATCACAATTTTACAGCAAGAATAATCTTGCTGTAAGCAATAATAAATCTATTAAAATTATTGGATTAAGATAACTGAATAATTTTAATAATTTATTAAATTTTAATAATGTATTCAAATAAATAAATTCTAATAATTTTAATAACTTATTCAAACAAACTCATTGATTTCAAAAAGTATCATAGTACTAAAAAATTTGTGATCTCTGAAAGGCGATGACAGGTTAGCCATTGGCAAAATGGTTGTTATCTAATTTTTTAATAAAAACAAAAATATCGTCAAGTGATGAAATTTTCTTTTATTCACAACTCAAGAAGTATTTATGAGATCTCTCTGGTCGCATATCTCGAAAATAAGCTCACCAACTTAATGCATAACGAAATTAAAAGTGAAAAAGAGAATTCTAAAAAAATTATCAAACAGCAGTGGTCGAAATAGCAACGCATGCAATGACGACGCATGCGACTGTTTACTATTACTCTTGAACACAGTGTAAAAGTGTGATGGCGTCCAAATAAGGGGAGTACGCCATCAAACCCAAAACAACACCCATTTCGCCAATGGGTGAAAAGGTAAAAAAAAATTATGAGAACATGAAACATATCGTTAATGATACTCTTTAGATCGATAATACGAGATTACTGAATTATGATAACATCCGCATGAAGAAGGGAGAATCGCGTGATCACGGTCCTGAACGGGTTAATAAGCAATTGTGCATTATGCGCCGAAAAGCATAGTCACTGTGAGGTTCACATGCATCTCAAATTCAACAGCTTTCAGGGCATTATAATCTAAGATTTACCATTCCCATTTAATGTCTATAATTTTTCCTCAATGAACTATAAATAAACTATTTTAAACAGAATGAACCCAAAGACCAGAAGTGAATTATTACTAGAGAATCGGGAGTGAAGTTTTATTGCAACACTTTTTTACTCATTTCATCATTGAGAAAGTGTTATGATGGTCGGTCACTATATAATCTTTGAAACTAAAATGATGGTAATTAAATTTATCGGTCCATCTATGTTTAAATGCTTTCCTATGGGTTTTTTTATAACAAACTTTGGCATTTACTCGCAATCGATAGCGAAAGTTAATCATTTTAAACTTTTTAGAACCAAGCACTTGATTAAAAAAGGAATCTGAGAGCAGGAGGCAAAGCTTATTGGCTGAGGTAGAGAAAATAATTCAAAAAACTCTTTCCAGAAATAATTAAAAATTTCCTGCAGTTGATTAGGTGAGAATTTTTAAAATCATTTATTTTAAATAGCAGATACAAATGCGTTAATAACTTTGATTACGTTAAAATGCGATCCGAAATGGTTTAGTGGTAAAGACACTGAACTGTCATTGTAAAGAACTGGGGTTTGATCCCCAATGGCGGCTGGATGCCCACCCAGCTTCACGCCGATGGGTTCCAGTTAATCTGGGAAGTAAAGTCCGCCTGTGCGCACCGATGAGCTCATTGCCACAATCATGCCGTTGCTCATGAAATTGTGGAGCCTTAACCTCCATGAACCCCTGGCGTACTACAGGCTGTTGCGAGAATCCATTGCATACATTAAAATACAGATATTACGAAATGATAACGAGTTGAACGTTTGTTTCGGGACAAGGTACCTTAGCGAATGGTGATGAATCTGCGACTGAAACTTGAATTTCAAAATATAAAACAAAAAGAAATCGTGCATCAATAAAATATATCATATTTAGATGATGAACGACCTCATGGACCCCTTTTTTACCATCCCATAAGTATTTTAATTTATCAGATTAAATATTGAACCTACACCTCTCTGTTGCTTAGACTATTCCATTATTGAATTTCAAATTCGTAATTAGCTTTAATGACTTTGATTTTACTGATTTTAATTACCTATACTCAGGTTTTGATTCCTATTTTTACCCTTTTTAATGATTATGGGCACTGATGCTTTTATTTTTGGTGCCTTTACTTTTTTTTATTTATTGGATCCTAAATTGCCCTGGATATTTTGATTTTAATTGTTGCTTTATAAACCTATTTTTAAATTTGATTAAATTTTAAATTGATTTTGTTGTAATTTGGCTATCAATTATACATTTTCTAATTGTTTTTAACCACCAAACCGTCCTCCTTCGAAGAGTTCTTCTTTTCATGCTTTTGGACTTCAGTTGTCTTTATTATAACGAAATCATCTGTACTCTAATGTTATTGTTATTTTTTATTTATTTATTTTTTTTAACTGTATTTATTGTATTTTATTGTGGTTGTCAAATTGTATATTGTATTGCATTGTAACAGCCGAGTGCCCATATCTTTGGGCGGGACGACTAACCAAATTCTATATTTATTCTATATATACCTAACTACGACTAACCAAATTCTATTCTATATTCTATATATAGAAGAAAAAAAATCGATATTACCTCACTCATTTTTCTCCTGCTGTCTTGGTGGTCTTTCTCGGTCGAGGATCTCATGTCAAGCATTTGTTTTCTTACAGCTTGTTTTTCTTTCTCCCTCTCTGTTTCTGTCTGTTCTACTCGAGATTTGAGATCAGAGACCATCTTTTGCGTCTCACCGAGTAAGTGCTGCAACTCGTTCCTCTCTTTCTCCCAAGTCAGCTCCAGTCTCGTCTTGGCAATGTTGCGTGTTTGGCCCCTCGTTGACTCCATAATCTTCTGCTCCTCCAACTGCACAAGATAATAGTTTGTTTATGCACAGATGTATATACTATATGCATAGGTATAGATATGTATCGATGTATATACTATATATCTTCCGAGTATGTATGTTACCGGCAAAGTATGAAATCTGGCCTTTCTATATAATGCCTAAAACTAGCCGGCAAAGTATGAAATGATTTATATTTCACTCATTGCCTGGGCATTATATATAATGCCAGATGCTATTCAGGCAAAGTATGAAATATACGTCCTGATGAGGTTATTATGTAAATGATGTGCATGTTACTGTGAATGACCGAAATCGGTGGTTGTTGACTTTCACCGGTGAATGTTGACAACCACATAGTCGCTTTGGTGAGTGTCCGAAATATTTATTACAGCCAATTTGATATTAATTTATTCGCGGATATAATTACATTTATTCGATATTTTAATACTTACTGACGATAGATTAGAACAAACATCAGTGTTTGGAGTATCAGGCAAATATATACCGGGCAGTGGTCCTTGAACTTAAAAAACATCACTGTAGGGTATACCAGGCAAGTGGATACCCTATACTGATATTTTTTAAGGTCAAGGGCTACTGCCCGGTATACATTTGCCCGGTATACCCTACAATGATATTTTTTAAGGTCATTCACAGTAACATTCACATCATTTACATAATAACCTCATCAGGACGTTTATTTCATACTTTGCCTAAATAACATCCAGCATTATATATAATACCTGGGCAAAGCATGTAATATTTCTCACATTTTATACTTTGCCTAAAAACGTCAGACATTATATACAATGCCGGCCTTTCATACTTTCCCGGTTACATATACATAATATTCTATATAATATGCATACACTGGGGAGAATGTAGGGATAGGTTTCTAGCATGACATGAGATAATCTTTTTAAAATCAAAATCAAAACATAAAAGTTGTAATTACGGTTGTTATTATTATATCTAACGTTCATGAGACCAGTACAATCCGTTGGGGATCGGATAATTTGCAAAATTTAAAATCGCCGCAGAGTTGTCTTTAAAAATAAAAATCTACGTAGAAAATATTATCTAATATGAGACACGTAAGCATATCAAAGGCGTGACCTTTAACTGCTTTAAACCATGAATAATTATTGACAATTTTATGATAAAAAAGAATACATAAAACATAACTAAGTTTTTTCTCAGATTGGACAAATAATAATAAAATTCAATGAAAGCAATTACGATAGTATATCAACTCCTTAACAGGCACAATGATGCAGATATACCTTTACCCATAATCCACGAAAACAAATACCTACTTATAATTAAAGTGTGCGATTTTAAAAACAGCTCAATTCGTTTCAAAAATATTACAGAAGAAATGTTTAAGTTCGGTAGTTAGAATAGAAAAAAACAACGCCAATGTATATTTGTTTGGAATCATTATTTTTGTTTTAAAAAATTATATGTACTTGTGATAAAGCACTGATTTTTTAAAAAAAAAATTATAATAATTGAATAAAGCACAAAAAGAATTCAATAAACTTTATGTGTGTTTAACAGTGTTTTTATAATTGTTAAAGTTTTGGAACAAAACGTAGATAGAATTTAAGATATAAAAAGATTCCAAAACTAGATTGGAAACGTACAGACACGAAGACGTATTAAGGGAAATTAGAAGGAATATCAACTAATTTTAAAAAGAGAGTGATAGAATCGTGAATTATTTTGAAACCTAGACATTATTGTATTTAACATTTTCAATAAGTAAACCAAAATAATAAAAAAAATTAATACTTTAAAATTTGTTTAAAAGTAAACAAAAGGAACTTTATATCAATAGATAAAAATTAGGTATGATATAATACCTGGTTAATTTTAGATTTAAACTCCGATATTTGGATATCATAACTGTTTTTGTCAGTTTCAATTTGTAGTTTCAAGTTCTTGTTTTCGAGCAGAGCATCATCTAGTTGCTCGCGTACGTCTTCTAGTTGATATCTTAACTCGTTAACTTTACGTCTGGCAGCGTCAGCCTAAAATGACAAAAGAAATTAGAGTGCAAGTAAGAAAACCTTTTGCCCATATTTATAAGACCAACTGTATCAAAGTTACTTTGAATTATTAATAAACCTTTTCGGAAAATCGCATTTCGAACTTACTTCTTCACGATGTCTCGCTCTTTCCCTCTTCAAAGATCCTGTTCTCATCTCTTCTGCATTTCTCTCAGACATCGATAACTGAGACTTGAGTCTGTCTCTCTCTTCCACCAAGCTAGCTATCTGGTTCTGCATACTAGTGATTTCTGATGACATCATGGACATCCTGCCTTCGTATTCTCGCCTCAATGTATCTAACTGCTTGTTCAGTTTGGAATCGCCAGTGTCAAGTGGAGGCAAGACCACCGGCCTATCTATTTTTGCCTCCATAGCCTTAGCCAGGTCTTCTGTCTGCAGAAATTAAAATAATCCGAAATTCAGCGATATGCAATATATAAAAATGCATGAGTTATATGAATGATAATTCGAAGATGTTACAAAATTGCATCTGTTCTGAAAGAAACATGATTCTTTCAAAGATTTGCATCAAAATGCCAGGTAAAAAATTCTTAGATTATACATACATTATGTTGCATAGATAAAAATTATAACTGTTTTCCTTCCTTTTTATTAACGCTTGAGTTGCTCTGATAGAAATAATCGAAATTAAATGTTTTTATTCATTCTCTTCCCGCATTGTGTGCTTAGATCGCTGAGTGATTGTTAAAATTTTGCATTGCAGCTTTTAGCAATTGCTGCAATTACCTTACGCAGTCCAAGAAATGGAACATCCCTCAAAAGAGAAAACGAGCTTCATCTAATGAGAAACGCAGGTAGTGGAGCTGTCTTTAGCAAGCAAAGTTATGGGTTGTTTTTTTATTTCGAGATTTTTGAAAAGACAAAAATTATTTCAGAATTTTTTTAAACAATAAGGCTTTTGCATTGTAATAGTTAAAACTTACTATAGCTGCCAACCTTTTCGGATTTTTTCCGAAGATTTTATAATTACATTTAAAGTCTGAGCAAAATGTAAATTTTTTTCTTTTCATTTATCGAACTTATAAACTTAATTTAAAAACCAGGTTTGCTAACTGTTCCGCTTTCTACAAAGGTTTTAAAAAATTGGTAGCGAATTAAGCAGTAAAACTTGTAGAATAAGGAAAATTACGCTTGTTCTTAAGTGTCACCTCAGGATGATTAATTGCAATAAAGTTCATTTTATATCATACTTGGATTTTTGATATGTAATGGTAGAAAACATACTTATGGTACGCTTGAGCTCTAGCATAATAAAAAAATATTTTTACCTCTCATATTTGTGATTTGATTGCTGCTTTACTACAACTTGGCAAAGTAATCCTCGTAGAGAAAAAACGTGGCAGGTATGAAAGGGTAATTAAAACAGCTTTTAGAACCAATCTCTATACAAATCACTGTTCTGTTAGCAAAAAGCATGCTTGCATTTTTAAAGATTACATTGATAACTACCATTTTTTTCAGTAGAGTCTTATTGCTACATTATTATTCCAACATTTAAAAATTGTGTACAAAATATTCAATTTTACCCTTTTTTGCAGTCGATTTCTTTCTTCTTTCAAATACTTTTCTTCCTTTTTGTAAGATTCAATGAGCGTTTCCTTCTCTTCCACCAAGTCTTGCAGCCTTCTCTTATCTTGCTCTGTAGATTTAAATTTATCTAAACGTCTGCTTAGTTCTTTCACTCGTTCCTTCAAATAAAGGAAATGCTTTAATTATTTGAAAGGATTCAGAAAAATAATAATAATGAGGGCAAATATCTAATTGAATCCAGAAGATTGAAAAAGAGAACAAATGCAAAAGATTCGAAATTCATTGTTCTTATTTATTAATTATTATGACTAGCAATGAACTATGCAGATGAGAAGCATCTATCACAAAAGTAAGATTTGGCTAAAAAATATATAAAAAGTAATGTATGAAACTGAGAAGTTTCCAAAAGTTATTTAAAAAAAGATAAGAAACTATTTTATACAAGTTTTAAGAAGAAAACTAATGTCTAAAATTCGAATATTTTTTACCAAACGGTAACTATGACTAGCATTGAAAAACAATTGTGATATTTGTTTAAATGTAAACAAGCAATGGGGAAAGCTGAGAAGTTTCAAAAATAATAAAAAAAGCAACTTGAGCTCAGTAGCTTGAAGCTTAAGAGCAGTAGCTGTAGCTCAAGCAAAAAGCAATAAATATTTGCTATGTAGATTTAAAGGTATCTAATTGCCTGCTTAGTTACTTCACTTCTTCTTCAAACAAAATAAATTCTTTAATTATTCAAAAAGAAATAGAAAAATAGTATAAATATGTCAAAAACTAATTGAATTCTTAAAATTGAAAAAAAGTGCAAAATTTCAAATTAATTATTTTTATCTATTAATAAGTATGACTAGCAATGAAGCAATGCAACTGTGACTAGCAATGGGAAAAGAATGTACCATAAAAGTAACATTTGGTGGGAAAAAAATCAATAAATAACATGGAAAACAGAGTAATTTCAGATGATTATAAAAAAGGGATGAGAAGCTATGATTCACATTATCTACTATGATTAATGACTACTATGACTAATATCTTCTATGACTACTATGATTACTAGAAACTATGATTCACATATCATTAGATTTTACGAAACGATAACTGTGACCAGCAATGAACTTAATTAGTGTAGAATTAATTAATTAATTAGTACTACAATAGTAACATTTAATTGGAATAAATAATGCTTAATGTGGGAATCTGATAAGTTTCTTTTATTGCTCCGAGAACACAACGTTTGTATCCGATACTAGCATGGAAAACTAAGAAGTTCCTTTTGCTGTTCGGAGAACACAACGTTTATATTTAATTCTAATGCAGGAAACTGAGAAGTTTCTTTTGTTGCTCCGAAAACACAACGCTCATATTTGATCCAAATGGGGGAATTCTTTTTGTTGCTTCTAAAAGCTAAACGTCTCTACTTGATTTTAGTGCGGAAAACTGAGAAATTTCTTTTGTTATTTCGAAAACACAACGTTTATATGTGATCCTAATTTGGAAAACTGAGAAATTTCTTTTGTTATTTCAGAAACACAATATTTATATGTGATCCTTATGTCGAAAACTGAGAAATTTCATATCATTCATATTTCATATCATCATTCAATTTCATTCATATTTCGAAAACTCAATATTTTTATGTGATCTTTATGTGAGTAACTAAGAAAATTTCGTTTGTTATTTCGAAAACACAACGTTTATAATTGAATCCTTTTCATTTAAATTGTCGATTCAATTAATTTTTGCGCAAGCGTAATTCTTAACACTATTGATATAAAGATTATAATATATAATTTTACTTGTAATTCCAATTTTTCTTTTATCCATGCGTCTTGTCTGGAATTGTAGGACTCTTTGAGTGATGTCATTTCGAAGCTTAATTCATTATGCTCCTTCCTGATTCGAATCAAACTGGCTTCAGCCTGTTCTTTTTCTTGTATTAATTTGGATTTTGTTTTCACAAATTCATCTTCTAACTGATCGTACTGAAATGAAAAACAATAACGTAAATAACTATCTGACTTATTTAAACATTTCAATATTTTAATTGTTATTTTTATTAATTACTCCAATTAGTCACTTCTAAATTTCAAAATTGATAAATAGAAAACTAAGAATTAGAGTTTCTAGAAAAATATGAAAATCGGCAATTATGACATGGCATTAGCCCAAGAAAAGAAAATTTCTTATGATCTCTTTAATCTGTTATTTTTCCCATTTTAATAACAAAGATTTCTTTTGATTGATAACATAGCATTTCGTCAATCATGGACACATTCATTCATCGACAAAAACTAGGCCAATTGAAGATAGTTTTATTTTGATCTATAATTTCTATTTTGCTGAGCGTGTTAGATTTAGATGTTTGATTGAATAATCAGTAGTTAATGCCAACTAGAACATGATCGAAATGTACTTTATGCCCTCGCATTGAAAATGTTATAAGTTCCATTTTCTAATCAAATCTTTTTTCCACTTTAAAAATAAATAAAACTTTTACATTTTGAGAAATCCACCTACAGAGTAATAAATTTGCTATTTATCATGGAATTGTATTGTATTTACTACGTACAAAATAATTATGTGCTAATTACTTGTTTCATGCCCTACTAAAATTGTGTCTATGGTCCTTAATTACAAAGTAAATTAATAAAATAATAATGGCTACATCAAACTTTAACGATACTTGAACAATACATTTTGTCAGTGGCAGACAGACTTATTAACATAAAAAATTCTAACTCCTTAAAAGCAGTAACGTAAATTACTGTGCAAGTGAAGCCTACGGGGTGATCATCGTCCTTAATATGTAATTTTAGGATAATTGTCAGAATTTAAATAAAATAATTATACAAATGTGAGAGACACAAATGAAACAAACCCATTATCGAAGTTCATCGAATAATGGGTAAACATTAAAATTAGTTTAATTGCTGAATGAGATATGAAGGTGCATATAATACTAACTTCTCTAAAACTCTCCTCGCTATCAAACGGATTTGATATTTTCAGTTACAACTTCCCCTCTAGTGATTTTTTTTCCTCGCTTAAATTAATTTACAAACCCTAGTGTGCATATTTTTTACATCATTTTTGAGAAAAACATATAGTTAGAACTTCTACTCTGAATGTTCTCACTTACAATGTGTTAGCATTAATTTTAATAGCAAAAGATTAAAATCGAAGCAAAACTTCCACCTACTCTTGAAGTCAGATGATCATATTCCTCCCTCATTTTATCTCCCTCCTGTTCCATCAGTTTCAGTTTCTGTTGCAGGCTCTCAACTTCCTCAAGTTGCATCTGCATTCTTCTTTGTTCTCTCTCAATAGCAACCACGCGCTCTTTGCTCAATAAAACCTCCTCTTCTTTTTGCTTCAGCATCTGTTCCGATTCCCGCTCCGATTTCTCCCGTTTTTTCACCTCCGCTCTGATTTCTGATTCCAAGTTATCCCGTTCTTTACGCCATTCATCTTTTTCGCGGCGAACTTCCGATGCAGCTTTTCGGGATTTTTCATTGGCTTCCCTCAAGGATTTTTCTGCCTAAATACACAAAAATGAAATGCATTATCGAATAATGTTGAAATTCAAATTCATTTGGAAAAAAAATTAAAATAACGAATATGATGGTGCTATTTGCGTGTGAAATATTAGAACTAATATTGATCAATATTTTAAACGCTCTTTCTACTTAAATATGTGTGATCTCTAGTGAAATTGATATGGCATAAAAAACAACATTTTAATTATATGAATATGTAAGCATTGAGCCTTAGTGGCTCAAGAGATAGAGCGCTTGTCTTCCAACAAGGTGGCTCGGGTTCGAATCCCCTGCGACACCCGCTTCGCATCAATTATATTACTGATAAAAAATATCCTCAGTGTGGATCATGGGTTAGAGTCCCTTTGCTGTCAGGCTAACTGGAAGTTTTCTCGATTTTCCTCACCGCTAACGTAAATGTGGATTAGTTCCATCAAAAAGTCCTCCACAAAAGAAAATTTCGCCCAACACGTGATCCAAGAGTTCTCTTGTCTTCTGGATTAGGATAAAAATTACAAGGTTACGGAGTTGAACATTGGTAGTCGCGAACTCAAAATTGGGTCGGCTGCTCAACGGCTGTTATAAAATAGGCAAGCATTAGTATAAGTTGGGTTATTAATTAATACAACATTATAACTATGTAATTATGTAAGTATCAGTATATATTGCTGCTGTTATTAAAACAACATTATAACAATGTGTTATACTCGTAATTATGTGAACATGTAAGCGTTAGTATAAGTTGCTGCTATTGATTAAAACAACATTTTGATTATATGAATGTGCAAGCATTTGTATAAATAATAGCTATTAATTTTTATGGTTTTGTCGATGTTATTTAAGTTACATACATATTTAATAGGTTTCGAAGTAACCATTATATGTATGACACACTTATATACTCGGCGGTAAGAAAATAAGAAACAAATTTCTTCCAAAATGTTTTTCAATTCTGACTTCGTGGTTATCGTGATGTCTTTGAACTCTTCAAATTACTGTTCCTTCAGAAAATTTTCAGTCTCGGATGTTGTGGTACTGAATCATTCTGACTTCTGTTTATTCTAAATTAATTCTTACAGAATAGATTCTAAAGGCTTCTAAGAAAATGTTTCTTGCCTGATTCCAGAGGGGGAGATTGCGAAATCCAAATATTTTCTTATTTCTTTTTCCAATAACTGACAAAGTAATTTCTAAAATGGAACCATTCTAATTACAGGAGTAAAATAAAAGGCTTAACTTCAACAAAAAGTATTCTTTTTAACATAATGAAGTTGCAAAACGTAAATTATGATGACGAAACAAAAAATATTACATTTGCTTAGCGGGTTGGAAATGAAACTATTTCTTTAAAAGTTTCAGTTCATCTTTTCAGTTTAATGGCGGTTCGAGGGCGAAGTCACATTTCTCGGAACATCCGTCATACTCTCTGGACTTAGCCCCCTCTGACTTTTCTCGTTTTCAAAATCGAAAAATATGATAAAAAGTTAGATTATAAATGTTGAAGACATCAAAACACTTAGACGTCAGAATTGAAGAGCATCCTGGAAGTAACCTTTAAAAGTTGCTTCTGAAACATTTAGAATTGATGACGGTAGGTAGAAGTTACTTAAAACATATTAAACAGATACGTAACCTACATTCATGGAGTTTTTCTCTTTGAACCATTAAGAATGGCACTTAGTACTTAACAATTAGATCATTAGAGCAAAGGTTATTCAATTTGTTGTTTCTTTGGCTCATTGAATAAGACTAATAGTAACCGACCTACCCCCGAAGGAGTTTGCGCGGATAAGGGTTTCACCCGTTGTCACGTGAATTAAACATAACAAAACTACAGAAAAGTAAAACCAAAACTAAAAAGATTTATACACACAGGAAAAATTCCAAAATCGAAAAGATGATAAAAATAAAACAGAATAAAAGTTAAAAGTGCTTAAAACATCTAAGTGAATAAAATCAACCAAAAGTAAAAGTGTCAAAAATACAGGTAAAAACATATAAAAGTAAGGTCAGGTAAAACATCAAATGGTAAAATATGAAAAATCACATTAAAAAAACAAATAAGACTAAAATAAGCTTAGTAGAATAAATAAAATAGTCGACTAACAGTTCAAGTGTCTCCCTTTCAAGGTTAAGTGCCTCCAAGATTAAAAATGTTCTAAGGTAAACCAAAGTTTCAATATTGCATAAATACTAGATGTGTTAAAAAAAAAAAGGTGTTTCTTTTATTCCTTATCTTTTGACTATCTAACAGAATACAAAACAAATCCTTGTTGAAAAAGTCTATTGTACAAAACACATAAACTTGATGAAGGAAAGGAAGAAAAAATGTGAACGCTCGAAACACTATAAAGTTTCAACAGGCAAGAGATCACAGAAGTCACGCATCACTGGCTGCGGTCAGTGTGCGGGTGGGTGACCACTTTGATAAGTCCGCGTAGTGTGCGGTATTGGTTCTCGTTAAACTGTTCTACTGTAAAGTGTTCCACTTCTTGAGCAGGTCGATGGGCTAACAAAGCGGAGGAACCATCCCTTCTACAAAGGATCAAAACTGTGATGGCTTGTCTTTGTATCCTCCTCAAGGATGCTTCCCAGACCGTCGCCAATAGCCCATTGTGCAGCTCATAAAATTCCTACCTACCTTTCATTCACAAACATTTAAGAAAACACCATGCCGCTAAAAAAACTCGTCTTAAATTCTCTTTACCATCCATAACTAATTTAAAGTATGAAAAATGTGAGCTCATACAAACCTAGAGAATAAACCATGAAGTTACAAATGTTGAAAAAAATGTATTATAGCTATTAAAATGCAAGCAAATTATTAGAGAACTTGCCCACAGCTGTAAAGAGATAACGGTACTTATAGGGAACATGAAGCCGAAGTTTAACAAAGCCTGATTGTGGCTTGCACAGGTCAGCGCCGAGTTATAATACCGATAAGTGTATCCAATACAGCAATATCACCATCNTAATTATAATTATGCATTATAATTATGTGAACATGTAAGCGTTAGTATAAGTTGCGGCTATTAATTAAAACAAACTAAACTGACTATGTGAATATGCAAGCACTTGTATAAATTGTGGCAATTAATTTTCATGGTTTTGTCGATGTTATTTAAGCTACATACATATTTAATTAGTTTCGAAGTAACCAATATATGCATGCCGCACTTATATACTCGGCAGCAAGAAAATGAGAAACAAATTTTTTCCAAAATGTTTTTCAATTCTGACTTTGAGGTTATCTTGATGTCTTTGAACTCTTCAAACTACTGTTCCTTCAGAAAATTTTCAGTTTCGGATGCCGTGGTACTGACTTATTTTAACATCCGTGTTCATTCTAACTTATTTCTTACGGAATAGATTCTAAATGCTTGTAGGAAAATGCTTCTTGCCTAATTCCAGAGGATCCGGAGGAGATTTCGAAATCCAAATATTTTCTTCTTTTTTTTCCAATAACTGACAAAGTAACTTCTAAAATGGAACCATTCTAATTCCAGGAGTAAAATAAAAGGCTTAACTTCAACAAAAAATATTCTTTCTAACGTAATGAAGTTGCAAAACGTAAATTATGATGACCAAACAAAAAAATATAACATTTGCTTAGCGAGTTCGAAATGAAACTATTTCTTGAAAAGTTTCAGTTAATCTTTTCAGTTTGATAATGCCAGGAAGACATTATGATGGCTGTTCAAGGGCGAAGTCATCTTTCTCTCAACATCCGTCATACTCTCTGGACTTAGCTCCCCCCCCCCCAGACTTTTCTCTCATTTTCAAAATCGAAAAATACGATGAAAAGCTAGGTTTGAAAATGTTGAAGACATCAAAAAACTTAGACGTCAGAATTGAAGATCATCCTGGAAGCAACCTTTAAAAGTTGTTTCTGAAACATTTACAATTGATGACAGTAGGTAGAAGTTACTTAAAACATATTAAATAGATACGTAACCTGCATTCATGGAGTTTTTCTCTTTGAAACATTAAGAATGGCACTTGGTACATAAAAATCAGATCATTAGAGCAAAGGTTATTCAATTTGATGTTTTTTTTGGCTCATTGAATAAGACTAATTGCAACCGACCTACCCCTGAAGGAGTTTGCGGATAAGGATTTCACCCGTTGTCACGTGAATTAAACATAACAAAACGACAGAAAAGTAAAACCAAAACTAAAAAGATTGATACACACAGGAAAAATTCCAAAATCGAAAAGATGAAAAAAATAAAACAGAATAAAAGTTAAAAGTGCTTAAAACATCTAAGTGAATAAAATCAACCAACAGTAAAAGTGTCAAAAATACAGGTAAAAACCTATAAAAGTAAGGTCAGGTAAAACATCAAATGGTAAAAATATGAAAAATTATATTAAATAAAAATAAGACTAAAATAAGAATATAATAATTAAAATAGTCGACTAAAAGTTCAAGTGTCCCCCATTCAAGGCTAAGTGCCTCCAAGATTAAAAATGTTCTAAGGTAAACCAAAGTTTCTCTAAAAAGATAAACACTCAAAGATGACACCAGGTAAGACAGAGGGTGCTGAAGTTCACCAAGATCAAGATTTCATTTTGAATGTCCTATGTATAATGAAGATGTTAGTTCAAGGGGAGAACAAAGTCAAGGAAACGGTAAGTGCCGAGGTAAAATTCTAAAAGCAAATAGTAAAACCAGTAAACCAAAAGTTAAAAAAATAAAACCAGATAAAATTAATCAAGTGTACTCTCAGGGACAAGCAGATCATCCAGGGTATATTTAAGAATTTCAATGAACAAAACTTACATAAATTACATTATAAATAATATTGTTATCGTTACTGACATAATATTGTTATACACTTTGAAAATTATTTTTAGAAATAAAAAGACATTGTATAGAATGGTCTATAGTCTATAGAATGTTCTTTAGTAAATAAATTTATGTAGGAAGTAACGAAACTTTTTTACAAGTTTGTGGCAACACTATTTGTCCAGAAAATGTATCGAAGCGAACTTAACAAGATATATATAAAAATCAAACTATTGCCTATTTTCTATGAATTCGAAAAAAATATCCTAATTTATTGACTTCTACCTTTTCCAATTTATCAGAGAGCTCTTGAGCCTTGTTTCTCAAAATCTTTTCTTCTTCTCTTGCCAGCTCTAAGGCTGCATCTCCTTTCTCTCTGGTATCCTTGACTGCGCTCTCTTTTTTTCGCTTGAACTCTTCACGAAGGCGGGATTCCTTTGTTGTAAAAGAAGAAAGAAGAAATTTTTTGATACTATTTTCAGAAAAAAAACCCATAAAAAATAACAAAACTTAGCTTTAACTGTTTAAGTATCTAACAAACTACAGTTTTAGTGCCTTATATCGAGGGAAAGCTTTAATTTTACACTAAATATGCTTTTATACTAAATATAATTTTATACTAAACATGATTTTATACTAAATATGATTTTATACTAAATATGATTTTATACTAAGTATAATTTTATACTAAATATGATTATATGCTAAATATAATTTTATACTAAATATGATTTTATACTAAATATGATTTTATACTAAATATGATTTTATACTAAATATAATTTTATACTAAATATGATTTTGTACTAAATGTAATTTTATACTAAATATGATTTTATACTAAATATGATTTAATACTTTATTTTGCTGGGGGAAAATGTGTGGGCTTTGAAACAGACAAATATTTAATTATAACAGTTCCTGATATGATTTTAAGTTTGTTTATATATTAATTTATATATTTTCTGCACAGATAAAAATTATTAATATCAGTGAATAAAACTGAGAAACAATTTTTCGACTTTTATCTCTAAGGATACAGTTTTTAGTAACATTTTTTTATCGAAATGTACAAGTTTAAAAACGTTATATATAACAAGGGTCACATAAATTTTGCGAGAAATTTCTAGGGAAGTCAAAGCAAATCATCAGAATTAAAACTACGAAGAAATGCATGCCGGGAAATGTCGTGGTACGCAACTATGGAACCCCTATTTCAAACTGTTTCTTTGTATATTTCTGAACAGGTCATAATCGGGCATCTCTCCTAGTCACGTAGAACAATATTTCCTGACTTGGGTTCCAATGCAATTTTGATCCTGATGATGTGCCCTTACTCCCTCTGGAAATTTGTAGCAAGATTTGCGTGACGTTTTATAACTTTTCTTGACGTTTTTAAACATCATCAGGATCAGAACTGCTTTGGAACCCATGACAGAAATGCTGTCATGCGTCAATAAAGGCGCTTCCCAATCATGAACTGGTCATAATAGGAAAACTTCCCTAGCCACGTACGACAAAATTTCTGGGCATTGATTGCTCAGTGACGTGCCCTAACTCCCCTAAATATTTGCCACAACGTTTACGCTAACCCGTGTTACATATAACGTTTTCAAACTTGTACACTTCGACAAAAAATATACTAAAGATGGCATTTGGAAGAAAAAAACTAACTTTAGGAGCAAAACTAATTTCAGATTCGAAGTCCTCACATCCGAATTAGGCAATATTAAGTATTTGTATAAATGAAGCAAAAGTCTAGTGTAGTTCTCATTATTTTCTAGTGTAATTCTCATAGTTTGTATCTGCATAGTCTTATGAGTCCAAACAATGTAGTGCTTAGGTTACTTTTCAGATATTAAAAAAATAGATCACAAATTTTCAAAAAATGTGACCTTTCTCCATTCGAACATCTTGCCTCATTTTTATAATTAGCTGAGAACATTTTCATGACTGTTGGGTTAAATTTTGCAAGAAAATGGACAAACTTAATCTAACACTCATGAATATCTGATCTAAACAAATAACAATTATAAAAATAGCATATGTTATTCGTTAAAAAGCATTATTTTATATGACTACTGAGCCTTTAAAGAACAGTTTCAACAAATCAAAATAAATTGAATAGTTTTTTTATAAATTTGCTTATCTGACACTAGAAGCCTTACACAAAGAAATTTAATAAATATTTATAGAACAATTTGATTTATAAATGATTTTATTAATAACTTAATTTAATTACAAAACTAATAGATTAATAACTTAAAAATTTCCAGCAGTGTAGGTTTTAAAATGTCGTACATATATCCTAAAACCCAATGAATACATGATGAATAGTCGAGTATTCTAAAGAAGATAAGTTTTTAAATAACCAATTACAATCAGCAAGAATTGCTTTTCTAAAATAAATTAAATATCAAGTTTTATAAAAAAGAAATAATACCTTTTCGATGAATAACTTTTCATTGTCTATTATTTGTTGTTGAAGCTGCTCGATGCGATTTTTTAAATCATTGATATTTCTCTTATATTCCTCACGTTCTCTGATGAAGCTGTTATTTACTTCCGATTGTTGTTTATCTGAACTTTGCTTCAGTCTGCTTCTCTCTTCTTCGAGCTGCAATGAAAGGCATTTATAATTTCTCAGAGTAATTTTCTAGTAAAAAGCTTTAATGCAGTAAAGTGTTAAACGTGTGCGATACCTCATTTCTAAGTTGGTAGCATTCCTTTTTCAAAGACAATAGATCTCTGTCTGTCATATCTACTTGGCTTTTTAGCTCGGCAGCTTTAGCTTCTGCTTTTACTAGCAGACGTCGCTGCTCGTCAACCTAAGCAAACACAAATTCTTAAAATATAGTTTAGCATAACATCAAAATGATGTAAACAAAGGGCATTCCATGAATGCTAAAAGTTTTTTTGCTTGGTGGCAACACCACGAATTTTAAAAAATAAAAGTGTTAACTGGATATTTATAAATATTCTAAACGAAGCGGACGATTTTATTAGCCAAGTTTCGCTCTTGTTTAAAGAATTGTTTTTTTGTTTTTTTTTTCGGCCTTACAGAAATTGGGGTGAATATTTCTGAGTTAAAAAGCACAAATAAAAAAATTAGCATATCATCAAAATGATATAAACAAAGGGTATTCCATGAATGCTGATAGTTATTTTTTTCGTGTTGGCAACACCCCGAGTTTTAAAAATAAAAGTGTTAACTGAACGTTTATAAATATTCTAAACGAAGCAGACGATTTTATTAACCCATTTTCGCTCTAGTTTAAAAAATTGTTTTATTCGGCCTACAGAAATGGGGGCGAATGTTTTAGAGTTGAAAAACAAAATTTATTGTGCTATAAAATTTTGCTAGTTTTTATTTTTAACTAGCCGTCTACATCGACCAGCTTGTTCCCATACATGAACTCACTCCTTCGCGGCTCCAAATTGTCTTGCGCCTTCGTGGAGTCACAACTGCTCTTCATCGATTCTGCTGCATTCGGTAACATTGATCTGATTCTATGGCATTGGTATGTTAGAAACAAATTAAAGGATTGGGGTAAAAATATCTTGCCCGGACTCACCGCTTTGCGGCTTTCTCCTTAGATTAAATTACACGATTTCACAGCTTCGTGGTTCCCCATCGACTTTGCTGTATTCGGCAGCATTTACATTTGACTTGATACATTTGCATGAAAAGAAAATAGATGGAGTTTTGTTTTAAAAGTATTTAAATTTCTACATATGTTCTCTTTTCTTCAAAATGTACAACAAGCAAACACGGTTATCAGTTGGGTATTTAACGAGACCTACTCTCTGCGACTCTCTGAAACGCATTTTCATACTAAAACATCAAAATTCTTCTTAATCTGAATAAATAGTGCTATTAGTAACATCTGCTGCGAAAAAAAATATCGCTTGTTATTGTGGGTCTTGCGTTTGCCTAAACTAGGCAAATTCCCTGAAGAGGAAAAAAAACAAAGCAATCAAAGTTTTTAATCTATGTCTTATTATTATTTCTTAATTCTGAGTTTAATTATATTTTGATCAGAGAGTGGGTAATAATACACTTGTAAATAAGTACACTTGGTCAGCTGCCATTTAATAAATAAGTTATTTTCTCGACCATTGAACCAACTGCATAATATCCATGAAAACTTTTATTTAAATTTCACAGCATTCAACAGACGAAGTTTTGAATTAAAAATAGATGCATGATGAAATCATTTACAAAAAATGCAAACTGAAATTCTGAGACTCTAGAAATTACCTTAAGTAAGAATTAAATAGTAAAAAAAATTTAAAGGTACATAGATCCCTCTGTTATGCAACACAATAATACCATTCTTAGTTAACTTAACGTGCTCCCAATGAAATTCATATTTGGTTTAATAGAGTTAGCAAATCATCAAGTTAGCAAAGTTAGCAATCAAGTTAACAAATCACTTATATTATAAGGGATATCCCAATATCACTATATCAAAGCGGATTCGGTAGATGACCCTAAACGCATATGCCACCTGAATAAACTGGCATTAACGGTAGAAATGGCACTGAGGGAAAAAAATTTATAAGGTAAAAACTTCAAAGATGGAAGTGAATCCTTCGAAGAGGACCAATCTCTTCGATTACTGGTCAACATATCTATCAAGTCAGAGGATTCATGCTCCTTAATCAGATCATCTATTGACAATAATAGACATTATTAAACAATTTCCTACGCCATTTGATTCCAGGCAAACATTTGCAACGCATCGCCTCTCGATTTGTTCCAAGATCTTTAAATTTGTTCCAAGAACAGCATGTTCAAGTGGCCTTAAAGATTCCTTTCTAACCAACATTAACTTCACAATTCAATTCTTTTTTAGAACACATTATCGCAGTGATTAAACTTGGAACTATGTTTCTGACACAGAAATAGTTCAGCAATCAAGTGAATGACACTTGAAAAGTGACACAAGACAAAATAAAAAAACAATATAAAAATACTCAAAATCAAGGCGATGTTGATTTTTCTTTTTCACTGTCGCAGAGTTAAACATTACAAATCATTACCTATTGATCTAACAGTCAATAAGGAATATTTACTATTTCAGTGTTCTATGATGTTCGCGTGAAGCAATTAGGCGAAAACGAGATAAAATTTAACTACAAAAAAAATCATGGGTTATGTGCCATGGTGCGTTTTGTTACATTTCTGTTATTACTAAAAATTATTCACAAAATCGATTTAAGGCATGATTTGATAATTGGAAAACCTTTGGCAGAAAAGCATTGAAGTTGAGGAAAGTGTTTTGAAGAGATGAATTAAATTTTGACTAATAAATTAATACATTTTGTATTATGGCACAATTGGAGGACTTTTTAACCATAGTAAGTATACTAAGTTTAATTCATTGGTTTCCATATTTTTAATTTCAAAAAGCAAATTATCATGAGCAAGCATCGAACATTCTGCACGGTCATCATATTTCTCATTTAAAATGCTCAAAAAAAGAATATATCAAGTGATATTCTAAAAACATCGCGAAATTTTGGATTTAAGAACAATACCAAGTGCATGCATAGTTCTTTTTTTTTAACCTTGTCACTAAACTAGACTGTTTTTAGTGACAAAATTTGTTTTGTGAAAAGTTTATTCTTGTTTCCATAATTTCTTAAGTTAATGTTGCTAAATTCGCTAAAATGCAGTTTAGAAACCTTCTTGGACTTAGTTCTTCCTTTGTCTTTCCTTTTCGGAACTTCTCGATCTGCTCCCAAACATTTTTCGAAGTAGAACTATCTATCTCCAAATGGATCTCGGCTTCTGGCACAAGAATACCACGAAAATCCGGCTACTTGGCATGCCCTCGTTATGCATATCAATACGCCAGCCACAATATTATAATGCTTAAATGTGACTGATTCACTTGCATGATCCCAATAGATATAGACTTAGCAATGCCATTCTACGTCCTTTCATGCTGAAATACGTAAACGAGCGTGCACAGTTTTGAAGAATCCGATCACGGATCTCAGGTATGAGCAGTTGCATACGCATTTGAACATGAGGGGATGTAAAACAGTATTACTAAGTCTATCGGAATTACATACGTGAAGGAGCTACATTTAAGCACTATAGCATTCATTGTGTCTATACTGATGTATTGTTATATATCACAAAAGCCCAGCAAGCAGTCGTATTTTCTTTTGAACCGAAAACGAGATCTATGAAAGATAGATTTCTCGACTAGAAAAGTATTTGTAAATAGGTACTAAATATCTCTACAATTAAAACTTCAACGCATGTGAACTGTAATAAAACTTAAATCGTCACATGGTACCCATCAGCCAGAAGGCAATAATCGATTCATTTGATATAAAAACAATATTTGGAGTAATATACATGATTAGGACACAGTAATACTCTTATTGTAGGTGCAGTCATAGTTTTCTTCATAGAAACTTTCTTTTTTTAAAAAATAAGACTCCTTTTCAAAAATACCTCTTTCTCAAGTTCGGCTTTCATAGATTCTAGAAGTCTGTTGGATCTAGCCATGTCTTCTTTCAATGCCGAAACAGCATTCAGCTTCTCTTGGGTGTCTCTCAACCTTTGGGTCTTCTTCTCCAGAGCTTCTTCTGCTGCCTTTGCCCTCTTATCCGCATCTTCCCTTTCTGATTTTAGCAGGTTTATTTTTTTAATTTGATCCAAACTGGTATCACTCTGTTTTGATATCTGAGTCAATTGTCCTTCCGCTGTTGAGGCACGAGACCTGAACAAAGAACACAATTTTTTTACTTTCGTTATAAGGACAAATTAAAATTATACTAGTACATTTGCCTACTTTTGAGGAAATATTCAAATGGCCTGATATATATACTGGATCTCAGAGATACAGTGCCAACGTATATACAAGTGAACATGAACTTATTGACATAAACCTTTAACTTCAAATATATAAAGAAAGAAGTATTAAAACGGGTTAAATCGTACATTCTTGTTACTTAAACGAATATTTAAGCAATAAGACAACCAAAGAAACATGGTTCCAGAAAATTCCCAACCAAAAAAGTTACATATCATTTACGCCAGAATACAAAAACGATCATTCACGACAAGAAGCAAACACTGCAATTGCTTTTAAAATTTCTAAGATGATATGCTTTTTTGTGAATTAACGTTATAGTTTTCGATTTATACACTTTAAATTCATTGTTAAAATAGTTAGATTAGGGTGGTGTATATATATATATA